ATAATCGTGTACAGCCTGCACATCATTGCATAAATTCTGCACCAACAACTCTTACAATCCCAGAGACAAGAAGATTTGAGATATCAAGATTAGCACTGAGGCGGGTGTTACATGTCAATTTTCATTCTCCTAAACGGATAACATATCAATGGATTCCGGTTCATCAATCCTACTGAATTAACCGCTCTCCTGACAACCAACACAGGTATTTCCAAGTGTCAGTACGCACGCGTACCCTCAAACAGTTATATATATATATATATATATATATATATATATATATATATATATATATATATATATATGTAAGCAAATATATGGATATAAATCCGACAGTATGAAGAAAAATATATACGGAAAAACAAACAAAAATTTTATATACAATTTATACTTTTTTGTTTTCGGACGTTTCGGTCTAAGAAACCATCTTCAGGACATATTCATAAATTATAACATTATCAATATCATTATTGTCTTTGTCATGTTGTATTGATAATGTTATAATTTATGAATATGTCCTGAAGATGGTTTATTAGACCGAAACGTCCGACGTTGACTTATTAACATTAAAACAGTATAAAAAATATAAAGAATGTGAAAACATTAATGACTGTTCATGATTGATCATCAGGAATTTTGGGGGGCCATTTCTTGTAAACAAATAATGTCCTATGGAATTATCATGAAGGTATGAATTATTTAAACATTTTCGATTCCTGGAACAAAATAAGCATGCCGTGGAAAAAATAAATCATGTCGTACCACACCTGTACAATGCCGGATGGGGGAAATGAAGAAATCTATATAATCATTCCGGTAGTTTCATTTAAAATGCAAATAGTTATTTTGTAAGTCATTGTGCCCGAATTATTTGCCAGTAGAAGGTGCGATAGATAAATAGTCGCCATATGCGCATACGCGTTGTTTGCTTTTGATTTTTTCACTGCATAATATAATAGGTTCTGCTGGACATCGTCTGTGAGAAAAAGAGCTCCATGACGTAATTCCCGTCAACAGAAATACTAACATTTCAGAGTGTTTGGGCGTCAATCTGAGAACATTGCAAAGGATTCATAAAAATTGGGATGATATATTCAGTCAACATCATGGTGTTTGGAATGATCACTCGTGATTGTGACTTTATGCGCACATTCATCTTCTCACAGGGCCTCAGACTCAACAAGGAGGCCTAGATCAATTACCTTGAGAAGGTCGTACTACCCTGGGTCAAAAGTAGGAGAACACAGATATGGCTGTCAGAATTTCTGCGACTATAACACTCCTTACATTTGTCCACTTAACTCCTTGGACTGCAGCCACTTTATTATTATGTGCAGGTCGCAGTTGAGTGAGAGACCAACATAACTCCTAGAAATACCAAAGATGAACTGAAGGCAAAGATTATGGCAGCATTCACCCTCCAGAAATTTACAAGAGATTCCGAAGTTATCTGACTTGGCAATTTTATTGGGTAGATTTACTCTTTATTTTTTCAAGATATTTTTATTAAGTGTTATTTTCATTATTGCGTAATTTAGGTGAAAATTTAGACATCACACCATGTACAAGAAGTGCATAGATAATCGATGATGACACAGCATAGCACAAAATGATTTGACATGGCCGAGGTATTGACCCCTTTGTACATGTGTATCTGAATGTGAGCACTAAGGTCAAAATTTGAAGCAACCATTTTGTCACTGATGGGACATGCAACTTGGGAGGTTGAGGATGCAACATGTTTTTGTGCTGCTCTCTTAACTTCCAGGACCACCTAATGGAGTCTGCTATGCACCGTAGAAAGAGAGCTCAATACCATATTAACTGGCAATGGCTTACTATTTTTTTTTGTCTATAGATTCCTGGAGAACGATGTCCGAAAACAACTGTTTCATGCGTTTTTCCCTATTCATCTGTCGGTCGGCAAACTATTTGGGAACATGTTCATTTTAACCTCCCTCCATAATTTCAAGATAGTACAAAAGTAGTTGTGTGCGTACATAGCATGCACAGACCAAAATATAAAAATGCATGATACATTTATATGTGGTTGGACATTGTTCCGTGGGAATTTTAGGGGACAGATATTAAAGACCAGACAATTAAAATGTCATCTTGTTCTCTTTCTCCCTTATAAGCACTGTCATGGCTGACACTGAGTGGCCAGTATTATTGAGCACAATTTTGTTTTAAGAATAGTTTCTTTGCAGGGGTCCTACTGTTTCCCATGATATCGAGCACTTTCTTGATATTCCTGTGGATTTTCCCCCATTTTTTTTTTAGTGATTTAAATCACACAGGGATTTTGTTGGTGTTGACATGGAATGTACGCACCACCAATCCTTGTAACATGTTGAACCAGCCAAGGGGCTATAAAATGCATATTTTCCAAATAACAGTGCCAGCTGCCTGATGATTTTTATGAAACATTTAGTTGTGATCGACCAACTTTCACCGGGAATATATTGAATTATAAAAATAATAAATATCTGGCCACTCGTATTCGAGGATACCCGTCTACTAGGTCGGCTAGTCGATCCCTATTGCAGACGCTTGCTCAGGCACATTTGTGTTAGTTCCACACCCACAGAGCCAAAGTTTGGTTTATACTGCAACAATGATGAGCAGACCTAAGTTAGAGTTTCTGGGATAGAGCGTGTTATCTAGCCTTATCATCAATCTGAACAAGGCCAGCACGCTCAACCCCTCGGTCACGATGACTTGTGACTTTGTGCTAACACAGCTCTCAACGACGACCTCCAAGGGTTCCGTCTACCCAATTTCACTCACAAGGCTTGGATCAAACCGTGGTGTGGTTTTCAGGCACTTTCCAAACGTGACGCACGCTGGGGTCGCCGCCTCCAGACCGATAGCATCCTTATTGAATTATACATATATACGTATATATACATAGTGATTTTTCAAGCGTAGCTTAGATGTGGAGCAAGATCGAAAACAGGGGTCATCCAGTGAGGATCGAACTCACTATTCATTCGTAATAGCTAGACAAGCTTGCTAATCATTACATCGCCTCGAGATGCCCGACACACACACTAGGTAATCCGTCTGGGTAGACCCAAGGAGGATGATATCCGGAGAGCTCAATGTAAATTCAGAACAAATATGTTTCAATAAAAAACAGACCACTCTGAGGTTCCATGTGATAAATTATTTCACCACAGCACTTTTAAAGGGCTCTAGATCATCAAACTTTACTTCCAAACGTTGAAATGAAAGAAATTTACACATTTTTGACGGGCTGTATTAAGTCTATGTAAATTAACTAAGTGAAAGGGGGAGGGGGAGAGAAGACGAAGTGAGAAAGTGAGGGGGGAGAGAAGACATAAGTGAGTTAGCTGTACCATTTCCATTCTTCATCCCTAACCCCACTTGGTGTGGGCTAAACAAACGCTTCATTTGAATTATGTCATCATATATATATATATATATATATATATATATATATATATATATATATATATATATATATATATATATATATACATTGGGGCTGCAGATCATTATTCAAATATATATTGTTAAATATAACAGACAACGAATCTCTATTATGTTTGATCATGAAGCGTTCTAAACTTCCTATAGTTGTTTAATTTCGGGAGAAAATAAAGGCAAAAATTATCCAACATTTGGATATTTCTTTTATTTTGCTGTTCCTTGATATAAGCTTTCGGCTCACATGAGCCATCTTCATAATGGTTATATGGACATCTAGAGATATAATATTTTTAGGTTAATATTGTATCATGCGGCTGAAATCATTTCCTCACAGATGCGATGTGGCCTTCCCTCTGTCTGACGAGCTATTTTCACCAGTGCCCCAAATTTAAGCGTATTCCTAGGTTGGCATTTTGGTCCCACCCTTTTAGAACTGAAACAATCAAATGTAACCGCCTCTTCTACTGCAAAAGTTTCTTCTCTCGAACTTCCCGACTTGCTTCCCTGATAATAATAATAATCTTCAAAACTTTAAATGTAATGTCAATCGACATCGGATGACGTGATCTTGATTCCCGTCCTTGTCATTGACCTTACCTCAAACCCCCCTCTTTCATTCTCTGTAACCCCTTGCGTGCTAGTGGCACTTCCACCTTTTTTGTTGAAATGCTTTATATATATATATATATATATATATATATATATATATATATATATATAAATTATATATATATTATATATATATATATATATATATATATATATATATATATATATATATATATATATATATATATATATATATATATATATATATATATATATATATATATATATATATTTTTTATATATCAGAACAAATAGCGTAGAGTGAGTGCTGGATGTAATGACGAAATATATATTTGTGTGTCAAGATATGAGATCCTGTCTTCAAAACATCTCTTCACACTTACATTCACTTTCTGTAGCCTCTTGCTTGCTGGTGGCACTTCCACCTTGCTTGAGGTATAATTTATAGGATATATAATTTATTTTATATATCAGAAAAATAGCACAGAAGTAATAACTAAATATACATTTGTGTGTCTAGATATGTAGATAAACAGAGATGGAGTAAGTTAGGATATAGAAAATGTATCAATTTTCATTATTTTCATATCAATATATTTTAATTATTTATCTGCGTTTGTACACGTATATTTAATCACACATCACTTTTTTTAGTTATTTATTCATTATTTATGCATGTGAGAGTCTCTCTCTCTCTCTCTCTCTCTCTCTCTCTCTCTCTATATCTATATATATATATATATATATATATATATATATATATATATATATATATATATATATGTGTGTGTGTGTGTGTGTGTGTGTGTGCATGTATACATGTACTTGTAGGTATGATGAAGACATATAGTTATTTTACTGTTTTTGGCTTTTATTTATATCTGATTCTCTCTCCTTCCATTTTTCATTTCTTAATATTTATAAATTTCATAAAGTATATGTGTTTTCAATATTGATTTTATTTTGTTTCTTTGATGTGTTTTTTTTTTCGACTGCATTTACTGTTCTCCGTCCATCTTCTGAAATTACACTTCGTTCCATTCATTCTTTTATTTTGTCTGTTTTCTTCTTACACTTTTCAAAACGTTATTTTTTTTGCTTTGTTGTTCTTCCGTCTTTCGTTTCATTCTTTCTCTTTTATTCCCTTTCCCTTTCTTTCCTTTAAGCACATTTACTTCTTTTTCTTCGTCTACTCCTTTTCCTTCTTTTTCTACTTCGCCTTTTTTCTTTCCTCTTCATTCGTTTCATTTTTACTTCTCTATTGTCATTCTACCGCCAGTTCACATTTCCTTCCATTCTCACATGTCCCTTTTCATTTTTCTTTTTCTTTCTTTCCTTCTTTTTTTCTTTCTTTCTTTCTTTCTGCTATATTTTCCTGCCACTCTCTTTTTCAGCCTTCACTAACACAGTCGCTTTCTTTTCATTTCACTAATTTCCTTTCTTCTTTGTTTCTTTTCATAACGCATTCATTAATTCTTTATTTTTTTTACTATTTCCTTCTTTCTTCACGTTCTCGCTGTCTTTCTTTCTTTTTTCTTTCTTTCTTTTTTTCATTTCTTGCTTCTCCTATTTTACACGTTTTCCCCCATTTTTCTTTACTTCTTACATTCTACTCTTTATTTTTATGTCTTTCCTCATCCCTCCCTCCTTTTATTTCCATTCCCTTCTTTCTTTCTTTCTTTCTTTCTTTCTTTCTTTCTTCCTTTCTTCCTTTTCTTTCTTTCTTTCTTTCTTTTCGTTTGTAATTCATTACTTCTTTGTTTCTTTTTGACAGTTTCGTTCTTTTTTTACTATTTCTTTCTTTCCTTTCCTATTTTTCACCTCTTTTTCATTTTTTTCCTTTTTTCTTTACTTCATCCCTTCCTCGCACTTTTGCTTATTTTTCTTCTTTCTTAACCTTCCCCACTTCCATCCTTTTTATTATACTTCTCTCTTAGACGCATTTTCCTCTCAGATCTATTATCTTCGTGTGTCTTGGCTCTTTCACACCTTATTTCTATTCATACCCATTAATGTTTTTCATTTTTATCCAAATTTTTCAAAACATTGATTTTTTTCCTGATTGCAAACAAACTCCGAAAGACGATTCATGTATACACTCTAATGAATAATAGGCCAAAGTAAAAACAAATATTAAAGAAAGATAACTCCTACGATGACAACAAATAGCCTGCTGCTTTCTCCGGTGAATCTTATACACACATCGGAAAACTAATGGCATTAGCAGGTGGCCAGAAACTGTATCGATCAAAATATTATTACAAAAACAAAACAAAAAAAGAAAAAGAAAAACACCAAGAAACAAACAAACAAACAAAACAATGGAACTTGCGCGTCTTGCTAACGGGTGAGGGTAAAGGGTATAGAAGGTTAAGATGCTTGGGAATATTTTGCAATTACAAGCTGACGCCATTTCTAACAAAACACATGAAAACATGTAAAGAAAATTATGATTTAAAATAAGTATAAATAATTTTTCCTTGGCTATCTCGTAAGGTTTTTTTTTAACATAACCTGCATTCCCGTAGTATAAATAAGATGAGTAAAATAATATATAAAATTACGAATCTACACACAGAGGCACACACAGAAACACACTCACACACACACACACACACAAACACACATACACACACACACACACACACACATATATATATATACATATACGTTTATATATATATATGTGTGTGTGTGTGTGTAAAATACGCACACACATATATACATATGTGTTTATATGTGTGTGTAAAATACACTCACACACATATATACTATATACGTATGTGTTTATATATGTGTGTGTATTTTACAAACACACACACGCACACACACACACACACACACACACACACACACACACACATATATATATATATATATATATATATATATATATATATATATATATATATATATATATATGGGCGCGTATCTGAGTGGTTAGAACGTTCGCTTTATAGAATGTTCGAATCTCACCAGGGCAGATTTGTCAGGAAGGAGAATTCTGAAGTTAACAGTCTAGAGAGGAGATCTAAGTTTACGGCACCTTTGGAAAGTGCCTGAAAAACATACCACGGGTTGATCCAAGCCATGCGAGTGAAATTAGGTAGAGGAAAAACTTAGGACCATCGATAGCGGTGCTAGCATGAAGTCACAAATCGTCGTGACCGAGAATTTGAGTTTGCTGGCATTGTTGATCACACTAGATAACACGATCTCTCCCAGAAACTGTAACTAAGGTCTGCTCAGCTTAGCCGCAGTATAAAAACACAGCTGGGCTCTGTAGGTGTTGAACTAACTCAAATGTCCGTGAGCGAGCGTCTGAATTATGGATTGGCTATGGGTGTCCAGCTATTATATATATATATATATATATATATATATATATATATATATATATATATATATATATATATCGATATAGAAGGAGAGCGAGAGAGATTATAGCGATGTCAAAGATAGTATGAAGCTAGGAAAGCCGACAATCAATATGATTCTGGGAGAAAAGACATTTAATGCAAGCAGTTTTGTAGTAAAGTGTTCGATATCAAAGAAAGAGTAACAATAGAATTATTATGAGTAAAGGATTGTCACTTAGCTCATTGATCTTACCTTCAGCATACCGACTCCAGAGTTTCGTAGACAGATCCGTCTCTCCATTAACTCTACCGGCAAGCGACTGCTTATATTTTTCTCTTTTTCTTTCTTGTCGCAAATCTTTTCCATATTGTTTGTGTTCTTTTGCATGCGCCTGTCTTCAGTAAGATAACATCAATGGGATGCGTAAGGTAACAGCAATGAATTAAGTGACAAGCTTTTAACCATATGAGTTCTAAATAGACAAAATAGGGAGATAGAGAGATACTTAGGTAAGTCGGTGAGTTCACTGTTGTTCTGATAGCTTTTGAGGACATCGCGGCAAAAGAAAGACAATGTTGTATGATGGAAGAGCGACAACTGAAACTCATTAAACTGAATTAAAACAAATCAGTCCGATTCCACAGCAATGAAATTCCTATAATGCCATATATATATATATATATATATATATGTTCGCATTTTAGTGCTAATAACCATGAGAAAGATATTAATCCTATTCTCCCTGAAGCTAGGGGTAAATAGCAGGAGAGACTTGGTTCTATAGCCTTTGATGTCAACTGGTCTAGAAAGACAACAAAATCTGCGGGGGTCGTTTAAGGACCTTGAGACACATAGTGCACTAGTCCTCTCTATTCGGCCTTTCAAAATGTGCGGGTGGTTCTGCACAAAGCCTTCACCACTACAATCAAATCATATCTGCTGGTGCCTGGGCTGATGGTTCCTAGGAACTGAGCTACTTGACCATCATACGTTGTATACGACGGGAGAGTCCACTATATATATATATATATATATATATATATATATATATATATATATATATATATGATTAGTTTTAAAGTATAGTATATCTATTGGTTAAAATGTTCAGTATCGGGAACAGAGCACGTATAAACATAAAAATGAACATTCACGTATGAGCAGTTTTTCACGATTCACGAATATACCGGTCATCTCTTTGATCATTGTTGTTCACTTGCATCTGTGACCCAAGGTCAAAGACTCAGATGACTGTATGGACACAAATCACTCTAACAGTGAACTTTGATATCTCCAGTGTCTTCACCTCCCAGGTATCCCCTCTGCAATGCAATATTCCTGGGGAGAACAAACCTTCTCTCTCACTTTCGTCTCCAAGAAATGTATATAAAATTGACACAGGAAAAATACAGGTCCAAATATCACTCAATAAATGCCCACAAGTACCACGTCACAGCCTTAAGCAATTCCATAACTGAACCGCTGCCGTCTTATGCTTAAACGCAATGTTTCAGGCCATCAGAACATGACCGAAATATCGCTGCAGGGCACTGACTTCCATTTCCACTTATATATATATATATATATATATATATATATATATATATATATATATATATAGTGTATTGGGGTAGGATATCATTTAAACATACATTGTTAAATATAACAGACAGTGAATGTTCGTGTGTTTCCTTTTATTTCGGGTGAAAATAAAGACACACACACACACACACACACACACATATATATATATATATATATATATATATATATATATATATATATATATATATATATATATATATATGTATTTATGTATATGTATACCGTAATTGCTGGACTATAGGACGCACCAAAAATATTGGGCGCACCCGGATTTTGGCATGGATAAACGAACTTCAACACAGGGAATTTAAACTTAACTATTTTATTATCGTTCATATCGACCTGTTCTCGCTATCTAGTCGGGGTCTTTCCCCCTCACTGTGGAGGACTTTCACACACGGAAGAAATCATGTCTACATTTCTCGAATATAAGAACCAAAAAGCCTTTCTATATCTCTATCCTTCCCACGCTAGTTCAATCAATCACAATCGACTTCCTTGTTTTGTCTTCCATCTGACCTCGAAGGTTACCTCAGGAAGTCCGAGCAGAGATACACTCACTCTAAAAAATAATACTGTGCTAAACTATTATTTAACAATGTGACATTCTCCCTAGTCATGAAGAAGTTTTCACCGTATTAGCACAAATTATACTACTGTTACTTTCTGTTAACAGAAGTGGGGTATGTTTTAAGTATCAGGACATTTTTGGGAAAAGAAGAATTTTAGTACATTTCATAATGCATTTACTGAAAATTGTTTTTCAGGTAGCAACATCTGCACATATAGTAATCTATAATAGCTACAAATAAATTTACTGGTGTCAATGAACACGGGTACATATGGTAATAGACAAAGAACAACAGAAATGTTGTACGTGTTAGTAAATGAATTCCTATAACATACATGCCGAAAAGCAAATTCAAATACTTGTGTATCAACAAGAACACACAAAGCAAGCAGAAATATACCAGTCAAATCAACTACTTCTGTAAAATCTGGTATTTCTATAAAACAAGCAGCAAAATATTTCTTAATTCTTTTTCCTGGGTGTAATTTTTAAGAATATTTTTATTGATATCATTGTTATTCACTTCCAGGATTCCTAGTTACAGAGGTAAGCTCTTTGCGTGCATTTATTCCTGGTAAATCTCACTGCTTTGTGCTCTTCATGACACTCTCATACACGATATACTTCTTTATTTGATGCAGGCGAATTCTTTTGTACATTTTTCGGGGGGTGGGGGGAAATGTCCACATCCAATAGACCGGCGAATTCGGCAAATTTCTGATTAATGAATACCTGTCTGACCAGAAGGGAACAGGATCCACTAAGAAGGAAATGCAGTCAGATTGCACTAAATTCGAAGATCTCAACAGCATATCTATGACCAGGACCTTACATAATATCACTGATGATCGTAAAGACAATAATTACATAGTGTAATATATGAGCTAGTTGATTGAAAAAAAAAACCAAAGATGCCTTGGGTTAATTTAAAAACCAGTAGACACCAATGGCATATATACATCCATATATATATATATATATAAAAGTATATATCCTTTTGTCCCCTATATGTATTTAATAAATGAACCAAAATATCATCTAAGGAGTTGAAAATGTTATAAGAGACAAAATGGGATCAATGGGTCATAACAGAATAGATATAGTTATTATTCATAGAACATCTGTTTGAAATGAGTCGTCTCTATTTGTACATGTAATAGACAATCCTCAAGTGTATGTATGCGTATATCTATATCTGAGAGAGAGAACGAATGAGAAAAAATCTTTCGATATATTTGTTTTAACAATGTCGATGGTTTTCAGATGTTGTGTTCATATTAACGCCTCCTTGCGCCTCGACTGGTGTGCGTCCACTGTCTGTAAGTATGTGTATTAGTCTAAAAATTATATATATATATATATATATATATATATGTACACACACACACACACACACACACA